AGCGCCGGTAGCAAAAATAACAGCTGGTTCGAGCGCCAGCGATCTAAACACACAGATGGAAATAAAGGAGACCACACACCTAAAATGTTGAGTGACACCCAAGTGATTGGGAACAGCAATTTGTCAAATGAAGTGCGACAGGCGAGTACTAATACGCAAAGTACACTTAACTCTCAAAGTAAATCTGAGAGGAGGAGGCGTTCTGGAAACTTACTAGTCGGCAAATTGACCAGTGATAGTGCATGCCCCCTGAAAGCAGCAAATTCAGCTCAACAAAACCGTCAGTACCAGTACCACGTCACAAAATTGGATACAAAGACTGAAATGCAGGCTTTAGCCAATTACCTGAAGGGCTTTGCTGCATCAGTACAGGTCGAGGAGCTGAATGCCAGGTATCCAGAAAGTTACAAATCATTCAAGGTGACATTATTAGCTACCGAAGCGGACAATATACTAAAGAGCGACATATGGCCGGATGGGGTAATAATCAACCGATTTTTTCGCTCTAGAAGGAGATCAAACACGTCAGCGGGTCAACAACGCCCAATGCCTACGAACCCTTCACATCAATGTACAGGGCTTGCCAAGCAAGATTGATGATCTCAATTTGTGGTTAAATGATAATCCTGTAGATGTATTATGCATTTCTGAACATTGGCTTAGTGATGATCATTTGGCAATGGTAAACCTAAACCAATATTCTCTTATATCCTTTTACTGTCGCCCTCCAAGATTACATGGTGGTGTTGCTATATTTGCACGAATGAATCAGCAAATTAAACCCTTGGATTTAAATAATGTTTGTGTTCCATTCCATGCTGAATTTTGTGGGGCAACAATTGGTAATATTGCTATTATAACTGTTTATAGATCTCCTTGTTTAGGAAATCCTTCATTATTTATTGATGCCTTCAATAGTTTACTGAATAGTATTTATTCTAGACATAAGAACTTATTGATACTTGGCGACTTTAATTTAGATTTCAGCAGTAATGTTCAAACAGTGACACACCTATGTAATATTTCAAATTCATTTGGCTTACGTCAATGTATTATGAAAATACCAGAGTTACACCTACTTCGGCGTCTTGTTTGGATAATATATTGACCAACTTGAACAATGATAATATTGAGACAGGGACAATAGATTTGAACATTTCCGACCACTTAGGAATTTTTTGTGATTTTTTTATATTACAAGATGAGATTCATTCAATCAAACCGCCCAAAAGACGCATTATTACAAAAAAAGAATGGTTTCATTTGCCAACAGAATCCATAGTATGGCGTCCGACATGAATGTAGATTCTAACTCTGCAGATAACATGGCAAATAGTATCTACCGTTTAATATCAAACTGTATCGATAATTGTTTTCCGTTAAAAGCTGTGGATAAGTCAGCTCACAACGTTAAGTGGTATACGCAGACACTGAAGCAGCTAAGGAAAGATATGGTGAACGCAAAGAGCCAGTTTTCGCATAGCGGGGATGAGCGTGATTGGGAGAGGTATAAGGATATACGTAGAATATACCGTCAAAAATTGAAATTGGAAAAAAGGAACTTTTACTCTGAAATGATACACCAGGCGGAAAATAAAACTAAAGCAATCTGGAAGATAGTCGATAGCGAGAAAGGCATCAGGAAACAGAAACACACAAACGTCTCAAGTGATGAATTCAATAGTTTTTTCAGTACTATTTCTTGTAAAATTCTTGAGGGCATTGAAAAGCCTACTATTAAGTACTTGTATCTCCTCAACCGTACTCCCAAGACACCGCATTCGTTCTTCATGTCTGCGATACTCCAAACAGATGTGAGATGTGCTATAGCTCAACTAAAAAACTCACCCTCACTCGACTTCTATGGTATGAACAGTGCTATGTTGAAAACAGCCAGTGAGGATTTCATTGAACCTTTAACAATACTATTTAATAAGTGTGTTAATGAAGGCGTATGGCCTGATGCTTTTAAATTGTCAAAGGTCATTCCCATTCATAAGAAAGGGAATGAAGATAATCTCGATAACTATAGGCCAATCACAATAATTCCATTAATAAGTAAATTATTCGAAATTGTAATCAAAGAAAAATTAATAAAGTACTTTGAAAAGCACTCCCTCCTTTCAGATTCCCAATTTGGTTTTCGAAAGCACTGTTCAACCAGTAAAGCCATTCTTCGTTTTCTTGAGGATGCATTATTAGTGCATTGACAAGAGAACCACCGCTCTAGCAACTATGTGTGACTTAACCAAGGCTTTTGACTGTGTAGACGCAGTTATACTGCTTGACAAATTGGAGACTATGGGATCCGTGGCAAGCCATCACAGCTTATGAGATCATACTTAGCTAATAGGAGACAGATGGTTAGCCTTGATGGAGTAAGAATCCCAGGTTCTACCGATTACGAACGGGGTACCCCCAGGGCTCTGTCTGGGCCCTCTATTATTTTTAATCTACATCAATGACCTCCCACAAAATGTCAACAATAGCAAATGCTACCTTTTTGCAGACGACACTACTCTGCTCTCCAAGGCTACCCAACTTGACGAGGCCCACAGTCTCGACCAGGTTAAGTGGTGGTTCTCCGCAAAACAAGCTCAAACTTAATGAAGCGAAAAACAGCAAGCTAAGAATAACATCAGACAAATGGAATGAGACTTCATCATCCGTAAAGTTATTAGGGATCGTTGTGGATAGCCGCTTGACCTGGTCGGAGCATGTGGACCAGGTTTGTACCAAGATTTCCAGACAGATGTTTATCATGCGGCAACTGGCTCAGTGTTTGCACAGACAAACCATGAGAACTGTATACTTTAGCCTCAATTCATAGTCATCTGTCGTATGGTATCATCCTCTGGGGTAATTTCTGTCAATGCCCAAAAAAGCATTTACAATGCAAAAGGCTGCTATACGGATTGTAGCTGGCGTCTCCTACGATCATACGTGCCGCGGTTGTTTCAAAGAGATGCGCATACTGCCGTTAGCATGACTGCTCATACATGAGACCCTTTTACATGTTCACGCAAACTGAGTACTTTTTCGATAAGATCAGAGACACACAGCTATAATACAAGATACGCTATGATATATCATTACCGCAATCTAGGATCGCCATGACACAACACAACAGATTAATGTGTCGCTTTACAATAACTTTGTTAGATATCATAAGCGGTCCAATATTGAGAAGAGGTCTAACAAACAGTTCTCTAGGTTTGTCAAAAACTATTTGTTAAGAAACTGCTGCTATACTGTAAGTGAATATTTAAGTGCATGTGATCCTAGTGATCAGTGATCGTGTGTAGAGCAAGAAGACAGACTCTGTATAAACTTTATCTAGTTTGTGACTTCAAACATATATCTCTATGTATAGGTGGTCAATAAATCGTATGGTATGGTATGGTATGGTATGTATTGCTATATTATTATTATATCATTATTATTATAATTATGATTATATTATTATAATTATTGTATTTATTACTATTATAATTATTATTATTATTATTATTATTATTATATATTATTATTATTATATTATTATTATAATTATTATATTATCATTATATTATTACTATTATTATTATTATTATAATTATTATTATTATTATTATTTTTAAATAGCCGTAGGGCTTTGTTACTCCCGTTAATCGGGGTGTTCTGGCTTAACCCGGACGCTTCAAGCATCAAAGGGGTAAGCCTCAATAGTGACCTCCCTAGGTACTTGCATTTCCCATAAATTTTCTTACTATGCGGGCAGTTGCCAGCAAAACTCCTTTCTGTATGATTTTGTAAATGTTTTCACTCAGTTCCAGCGCTTTGATGTTTTCTAGCAGCCTTCTTGGTATCACCCCTGTAGATGACATTATTGGTATTGTTTCCACGTACTTCATTTTCCACTGGCGTTTAATTTGAAATTCTAGCTCCCTGTATTTTGCAACTTTCTCATTATGTTTGTATGTTAAATTGTTACTATTAGGTATGGCCACATCAATCAGTGTTACTTTCTGGGCGTCCTTGTCGACAATGATTATGTCAGGTCTGTTTTGTTTTATGTATTGGTCCGTAAGCACAGTGCGATCCCAGTATAGTTTATACTTGTCGTTCTCGAGGACACATTGCGGTGTATATTTGTAGTACTGTAGCTTGCATTCGATCAGTTTGAATTTGTATGCCAACTCCTGGTGAATGATTTTGGCAGCTATGTCGTGGCGCTCCTTATAGTCCGTTGGAGCGAATGCTTGGCATCCACCAGTTACGTGCTGTATTGTTTCGGAGTCCTGACAGCCGTACCTGCATTTATCAGACTGTTGCAAGTTCTTAAGTATGAACCTCTTGTAATTGTTGGTAGGAATGACCTGGTCCTGTATAGCTACAAGGAATCCCTCAGTCTCAGGGAACATTTGGCCTGAGGTAAGCCAATAGTTTGACGCTTTCTTGTCAACGTTTTCTTGGCTAATCTCGTTGGCATGTCTCCCATGTAGAGGTTTTTCAATCCATCGTTGTAGCTTCTGTTCGTTGGTTTGGTGACTCGGTTGGTCATCTCGTCTACTAAGGTGTAAGGGCGTTGTGTCATCTATTGAGCATATGATGCGATGCAGCTCAGAGATCTCGGCCTTCTCAAAGAAGTAGGATCGCAAGGCGAGTACCTGTTGAGCTAGCTGCTTGCTGATGTCCATTAGACCTCTTCCTCCTAACTGTCGGGGTAAGGTTGTGCGCTCTATTGCACTGCGAGGATGGTGCGCTCCTTTTTTTGTTAGCATAGTCCTTACCCGCCTCTCTAGTTTCTCGATGTCAGTTTTACTCCACAGAACTATACCGAACGAGTAGTTCAAGGCAGAGCATGCGTAGGTGTTAATCGCCTTGACTAGATTCTTACTATTGAGTTCTGTTTTCAGAAGTAGCCGTATTCTTTTTGTGAAGGTCTGCGATATAGCTTCCTTCATTTTTTATGGTCTATCCTTCGGGCCTGCGCCATTCCAAGGTACTTGTATGTGTCATTTGCGTCCATTGCGTCAATGTTTTGGCCTCTGCAGCTTGAAAATCCTCCAGGGTAGATGTTCCCCCTACGTATAGATAAGGTTTTGCATTTATCCATCCCAAATCGCATACTTATGTCATCTGAGAACTGACCGACTATCTCTAGCAGCTGTTTCATTTGATTCTCAGTAGCAGCTATTACCTTTAGGTCGTCCATATACAGCAAGTGGTTCAGTTTTATGGATGCGTTCCTGTTATCTTTCAGACTATATCCATACCCTGTTGCATTTAAGAGGTTTGAGAGGGGATTTATAGCTAGGCAAAACCATAGGGGACTTAATGAATCACCCTGAAAGAGACCTCTTCGGATAGAGATCGTCTCAGTTTGAATGGTGCTGGTCCCGTTTGTATGCAGTGTTATTCTGGTTCTCCAGGTCTTCAGCATATGTTCTAATAGGGCCACTACATGCTCATCTACCTTATAGAGCCTCAGCACCCTGACAAGCCACTCATGAGGTACAGAATCGTATGCCTTCTGATAGTCGATGTACGTAATGTATAGGTTCCTTTTGTTGGTATAGGCTTGGTTACAGATGACTGAGTCGATAGCCAGCTGTTCTTTGCATCCCATAGCTCCCTTAGCACAGCCTTTTTGTTGTGGCGCAATAATATCGTTTTCTTCACAATGAGCATAAATTCGCTTCGATATACAAGCAGTGACCACCTTGTATAGCGTAGGAAGGCAGGTAATTGGGCGGTATTTTGCTGGGTCTTCTGTATTATTGTGATCTTTTGGTATTAATACCGTTAGCCCTTGTGTTAGGAACGTTGGAGTCTTATTTGGATTCAAAAGCATGTCATTGATATATCTTGTTAGTTGTTCATGCATGCACCAAAGCTTCTTTATCCAGTAGCCATGAATCTGGTCTGGGCCCGGGGCCTTCCAATTATGCAACTGCTTAACGATATCCACGATTTCTTGTTTGGTATATGCCCTATACTGCATGGGATTGCAATAATGGCTCTTCGCTTCTTCATCTGTAATCCATCCTGCACACTTGTTGTAATAAGCTGTCGAGCCAAACTGCTTGCCCCAAAATTCCTCTACTTGGTCCTTTGTGGGCACCGTTTTGCTCTTTTCCTGGGGTTCGGATGACAGTTTCCTGTAGAATGCCTTTTCGGATCGTTGAAAGAGCGCATTGTCGTGCTTTCTGTGACTGGACGCTTTATACCTTTTCAATCGCTGAGTATATACGGACAGTTTTTGCTTCAAGGTATCAAGGCATTGCCACTCGTTGATGTTAGTTGCGTCTTGGTGAGAATGATGGTGGAGTCGTTGCATTATTTCCATAGCTTGCTTTCGGACTTTTCGAGTTGTTATTCCTCGTGTGAATTGGGTAAGACGTCCGATATCTCTGCGAATTTCTGCCGTTCTTCTTTCCAGACGTTTTTCCCATTTTGGTGTTATTGGTTTTACTGAATTTTCAGTAATCTTTTGAGTTGGCATTTTGACACCAAGTGTTCTTACTGTTGCAACAGCTGCACAGTATATCAGTGTGTGAAGTTGTTCTATACAGTTGGAGTGTGCTAGATACTCTGGCAGGATCTGTTTATTTAACTGACACAATACCACAGCAAGCTTTCTAGATGACTTCAACTTTGGTAATGGTGGTCTTTCTAGCGGGTTCGTTCCATCAAATTCGGCATATGCTCTACCCATTTCAGTTATTAATAACCAAATATTTCTGTGTCTTGATCATTACTGTCGTCAACTCCAGGCTGTTCACTTTCTATCTGTTCTTGCTCAGATTGACCATTATCGCGTATTTCGTTATTACTCCCTTCTTGTTGCATAAGATCAAGCTGCACTTCCTGTTTGATGGCATTCAGCCGTGGTTGTGGGATAAGATTATTTTTGATTATCACTCGATATTGGTCTGCCACTCTCTGCTGAGATACTTTGATCTCCGGATATTCACTACAGAAAGCGGTATGAAGTCGTGGTCTGTAGCCGATTGTTTCTCTACCTAGGTTGGTAACTTTGTAGAAGATTCGCATGATTGACTCATTCATGGACACCGTCCACTTTATACGTCTTCTAGGGAGACCTGCTTGAGTGAGCACTGGCTGAGATTCCTGTGCAGCACTTTCGGCAGCGGTGGCACTAGTTGTTGTTTGGCTACCACTTTGTTGGGGGGCTGTTGCTTCTTGGACGACAGGGGCCCGCCTCCTCAGCACCCTGCCACCGACGTCCCGCATGCTGTCATATCCAGCGCCGGCTCCAGATATGCCCTGACGATCACCCTCAGGCAGCGACCTTTTTCCGAGGCTATATTCAAAATTCATCTCCATAAAGAAATTATGGGTGTGGCTCTTTTTATACGACTCCATCTAGGAGCCGATATGTACACATTCTGCACATGATATGTTTTCCTGCACCAGGAGGAAGAGACACAAAAACCCCTGGCACACACTGGAGGATCGCTGGCTGTACCGTCTATCCTTGTTGTTGCTACGGTAGCGGGTTTGACACTGCTGGCAACAGTGTCCTAACCGGCCAGACATTATTATTCATTATTATTATTATTATTATCATTATTATTATTATTATTATAATTATTATTATAATATTATTATTATTATAATTTTTGGTATTATTATTATTATTATAATTATTGTAATTATTATTATTATATCATTCTGTATTTCACTCCTAGAGGAAGGGATGAGCTTGACCGGAACTCTGCCTGAGTTCTAAGGTCTTTAGTCGGAAAGGGTTTTCCGCAAAATGTGGGCTGTTCCTAGCAGTGCTATCTTTTGAACTTGTGTTGCAAAGACATCTCCGGGGAGTTCTTTTATGTTGTTCTTGAATGACATAGTGGCAGTCCCCAAAGCTCCGATGATCACGGGTACCGTTCTTGTCTTTGTCTTCCACATGCGCGATATTTCGATTTCGAGGTCTTTGTATTTTCTGGCCTTTTCCGCTTCTTTGGTGTTGACGTTGTTGTCGTCTGGTACAGATACCTCAATTAGCAGACATATTATCATTATTATTATCACTATTATTAGTATTATAATTATTATTATTATTATAATCATAATTATTATTATATTATTATTACAATTATCAATATTATTATAATTACCATTATTATAATTATTATCATTATCATTATTATAATTATTATATTATTATTCTATAATTATTACTATTATAATTATTTATATATTATTTAATATTATTATTTTTTATTCCCGTTTTCTGTTAGCTATTCTCTGCTACTGCAGGTGGTATCCTCAAACGCGGCATTATACTGCAAGCGTCTGAGTGTGACTATTGGTTTCTCTTTGTCTATGTGGCTACATTCAGGACCTTGCGTGCTATATGACAACTACCTAAGATGGCAGCTTTCTGAAGTGAGAGGTATAGTTTCTGTGGCAGATTTAGTTTCTCAATATATTTATGTAGACTCTTAGGTATTTCTCCTGTGGCTCCGATCACTATTGGGATGACTTCAACTTTTCTTGATTCCACAGTGTTTTTACTTCTGCAGCTAGTGGTAAGTACTTGCGAACCTTTTCTGTCTGCTTCTCAGCTATGTTATGTGGGGCAGGCATACTAATGTCAATTATGCAGGTTACTTGCTTCATTTTATCTTGAACTGCGATATCTGGTTTGTTGTATTCCATGGTGTGATCTGTTTGAATTGTTCTATTCCAGTATATTTTATGGCTGTTAGTTTCTATAACTGGAGTCGGCTGGTACTTGTAATATGGGGTGCGGTCAGTTAGTATGTTCGCAGCATAACAAATTTCTTGGTGAACTATTTTAGCCACGTTGTCGTGGCGCTTCAGATACTCAGTGGAAGCTAGGGGAGTGCAGCTCGTCAGGATATGCTCTATTGTTTCCGACTTGTTATGGCATATACGACATCTATCTTCAATGCCTTCTTCTTTCATGATGTATTTTCTATAGTTTAAGGTTGGTGTCACCTGATCTTGAATGCCAATCATGAATCCTTCAGTTTCCGAAAATAGCTCCCCACTTTTCAGCCATCCATGTGACGCTTCTGCATCAATGTGATCTGAGCTGAGCATGGCTGGATGTCTTCCATGAAGCTGTTTGGACTTCCATTGATGATACCATTGTTCGTCGGTGGACACATGGGTAGAGGTTCATACTGTTCATCCGACAGGTTCAGTGTGTGAACTGTAGTCAGCTGAACTATATTTCTGTGATAGCAGATGTTTCGCCCTTTTCTATAAAATAATCTCCTGAGGTTTTCTATATTCCGCAGGTTAGCTGCTTTAAGGTCAATCACGCCTCGTCCTCCTTTGGATCTTGGCAAGTAGAATCTTTCGATCGAACTCTTGGGATGTCTTGCTCTATGATTTGTAAATAAGACTCATGTTTCTGTTTAGCTGCTCTAAGTCAGAGTCTGTCCACTTGATTATTCCGAAGCTATATGTTATTGTCGGAATAGCATATGTGTTAATGGCCCTTACTTTGTGTATTGCGGACAGATGAGTCTTAAGTATTGATTAGACCCTTCGTTAATCTTTGCCTTAGAGCTTCTTTCATATCTTTGTGTTTGATACCCCTTGCTTGATCTAATCCCAAATATGTATAGCTCTCTTTCTCAGACATGCTCCTTATTGTCTAGACCCTGCTCCAACATAAACCCTGGGTGATCTTCCCATATGCCCTTTCTAATAGCCCCAATCTTACACTTGTCCAGGCCAAACTCCATTCTTGTGTCAGCACTGTATCTCTTTGGTTTTAAGCAACCTGTCCAGTCCATCCTTAGTGGCAGATATTAGTTTGATGTCATCCATGTAAGCTAGATGGCTTATTTGTAGGTTGTTCTGAAGCTTATAACCTTCGTTCTTCTTGTGCAGCATTCTAGATAGAGGTGCTAATACAATACAGTACCATAAAGCACTTAGTGCATCTCCCTGGAAGATACCTCTTTTAATGCTGATTGCACCGATGTTGATATTTTCTTCTTTATGGGTTATTACAAGATTAGTTTTCCATTGAGGCATAAGGTTTTGCAGCAATCTCACTATACTAGGGCTGATTTTATATATTTGGAGCATTTCAATTAATAGAGAGTGAGGAACACTGTCAAAGGCCTTTTTATAGTCAATGTATGCAACAAACAGATCTTTCTTACAGCCCTTTGCTTCCTCCGTGATGATTGTATCTATTGTAAGTTGCTCTTTGCAGCCACGACTTCCCTTTTTGCAGCCTTTCTATTCTTCTGGGAGCAGATGATGCCTTTCAAGGTGCTGGTAAATTTGATCGCATAAAATTGAAGTAATATTTTTATATATGGTTGGAAGACACGTAATTGGCCTGTATTTTGATGGATCGCTCACAGAAGGGAATGTTTTAGGAAGCAAGTAGGTGTTTCCCGTTGTCAGAAATGCTGGAATGGATTCTGGATCTTGCAAGAGGCTTGTGCAAATCATCGCTAACGTTTCGTGTGTGCAAGTGATTTTTTTGAGCCAATAGTTATGGATGCCATCAGGTCCAGGCGCCTTCCAGTTCTGCGTGTTGTTTATAGATCTTTTAACATCCTACACAGTTATGACGTTGTAGTGCATCATGGGTATGTTTTCGGTTTTCCTCTTTTCATCCGCGAGCCAACTTGTTTTATTATTATGAATCTTAGGGTTCTCCCATAGGTCAGCCCAATATGTTAATGCATCTCTAGCTTCTGGAGTTTTACCCGTAGTACTTACATCTTCGTTTTCCAGTGAGCGATAGAACCTCTTTTGATTCGTTCGAAATATGCTATTTGTAGTTTTCTTTGATGCGATTCTTTATATCGCTTTAGGCGATTTGCGTATACAGACAACCTTTGTTGGAGCTTATCGAGGATCTGTATCGGATTTTGATTATCCTCATCATGATGTCTCTGGGTTATTGTTGTGACTTTATTCGCAACCGGTTGGACGGGGCATCTGACTTGATGTACTGAACAAGGGGGCCTATAGCTGCTCGTAGATCTTTTATTTTCCCTTTGATCCTCATCTGCCATCTGGCTTTTTGTTCAGTATGCTTGTATGATTGCTTTATCTTTTGATGGTGCAGTTCAATCACAGTATAAGCGCCGGCATAAATTAGGTCATGATAATCAGTTATACCGGTTATGTCACACAACTTGGTCGTCATGACATGATTTACTCTATTCAAGATATGAACAGTATTCTTATTTGTTCTCATCCGAGGCAGTCTTGGTCTCAGAAAAGGTTCTATGCCTTTGAACAGTATTAAATTCCTTTCAAAACATTTTATATTATTATAATTATACATTATCAATAATAAATTATTATATTACTATAATTATTACTATTATATTATTATTATTATATTATAATATTATTATTATTAATATATATTATTATTAATATTATTATATTATTATTATTATATATTAATAATTATAATTATTATTATTATTAATTATTAATTATTATTATTATTATATTATTATTATTATTATATTAAATTATCGATATTATATATTATCATTATTATAATTATTATTACTATTATTATATATTATTGTAATTATTACTATTATAATTATTATCATTATCATTATATAATAATTATTATTCCGTTTTCTGTTAGCTATTCTCTGCTACTGCAGGTGGTATCCTCAAACGCGGCATTATACTGCAAGCGTCTGAGTGTGACTATTGGTTTCT